AAAAAAAAAAATAGGTTCTACCATCCAGAGAGAAGAAATTAATCCTTGGTCTTCGGCAAATCACCACGCAATAGAATCGCACACGTGTTTAATTTCACACGGGGAGAAATATTTACATTCGCAGTAGATCGTTTCTCTTGTTTCTTCTCGACAAGGTGCTAAACTATAAAACTATATATAAATATATATAAGAGTGATTTAATACCGAAATGAATATATTATAAAGGAAAATATCGTTGATTATAATACTTGTTAAGATCCTTGTAAGATCGATTTAATAACAGTTACACCGAGGATTAATTATGTTGCTCCTGAATCGATTTAGTGATTTAATTGTACTCGTATATTATATTAATTATCCGTATTATACAGTAGCTCGATTGTAAATAATTGTTGAAGTGTCTTTTAAAAAACTGTAAACAGACAATAACTTGCGGGACGAGAAGTTGCCGCAGTGAAACATGATGAATCGCCGTTGCAATGAATAGTACAAACGTTTCTTTCACTATATCATGTATGTTTCGTCAACATTTCCCTCCCAAACTGCGAAACGTACAAATCTCGGATAAAATTCATTCGAATATAAGTTTCTTCTTTCCCCGTAACATAATTATTCTCGAGCCTCGAACGTAAGGTGTACACAGTGCGCTGACATCGTTTAACGATTTAAATTATAACGTGAATACAGTGTAAATGACTATACTGTGGATCTTTATGCGATTAAAACAAAGAAAAATATGTTATACATATGTTAAAACACAACCGAAAGATAGAAGAGATCGTGTCATTTAAATCGCTTTTTGTTTTATCCCGATATCTCGATCGGTTGCCGAGATACGAGCATTCAAAGTTTTCATTACGTTTAACACAGCGCAGACATTATACAACGCGCTAGTGACCTATATTTTTTTCTGGAAATACGTAAAGTATTCTTTCAGGATTCGTGTACTACGGCCACTTGTTTGGAGGTTAGGATAGGTTAACAAGAAGAAGCGAGAGGTTCGAGTAAGTGACAATGACGGAGATAGTAAACGATTAAAAATTATCCTCTTCTTTACACGATGATATTTCGGCAACCGAAAGTTGTATCGAGATAAACGAAAAAGAGTTTTAAAAAGCAAGATTTCTCGTTTCTAATGATCGTTTACTCGTCGATGGGAAGGAATTATCTTCGAAGTTATAGCAATTCAAAGTTTCCTTAATTTTAATATGATTTAATCAAGTGTAAGATAATCGATTGAAAAATATCTTTTTCTTTACACGATGATATCTCGGCAACCGGAAATCGTATCGAGATGAATCAAAAAGTATTTTAAATGATATGGTTTTACGCTTCTAATGATCGTTTATTCATTAACCGGAAGAGATTATTTTTCAAGATATTGCGATTCGAATTTTTCTTAATTTTAATAGAGTTTAGTCGGGTTTAAGGCAAATGATTGAAAAACATCTTTTCCTTTATACGATGATATCTCGGGAACGGGAAGTCGTATCGAGATAAATCAAAAAGTGTTTTAAATGATAAGGTTTCGCGCCTTTAATGATCGTTTACTCGTTGATCGGAAGTCATTACTTTTGCAATTATAATGGTTCAATTTTTTTCTAATTTTAATACGCTTTTAATCGAATTTTAAGATAAACTACGCGATGATTACTCGTATTTAGAGATACTTTGATTAATTTTTAATCGTCAAAGAACAATATCAAAAACATTTTTTCTTCGCATCTTCATAACATGAAAGATATGCATTTACATAAAAATCCGCAGCCTAGTTATCGAACTTGAACTGAATAATAAATGATATTTAAAACGCATATATAAAAATGCAATGAATATCACTTTCATCCTAATAATAAGACAATAATTAATGGACAATAATTAAGGGAGGAAAATTTTTTTAAAGAAATAAATCGTTCAGTGCACTTTCCACATTGATTTTCCGCATACCATCCGTTCGAGGATCGAGAAAATATATTTCACGTCTGGTTGGAGCGAACAAAGAGTATCGATGAAACGTGTCAATAATAACGTATCTAGAAATTATTCCGTGTTTAATCAGGAGGATAGCTAAGAATGTAATATCGACTATATAGTATTCATTAGTTAAGTTTCGTATAATTTCATACCTCTGACTTACCAACTCTGATTCTGTATTTAATATCTTTTTATTATTATTATTATTTTTAATTTTGTGCCCTATTCGGTTCAGAATGCGTATGAACGAGAAGGTCATTTCCATCCATATTTAGG